GATACCTATATATAACATATATGACCTATATATGACATATACTTGTATATGACTTCATATTGGAATATTAAACAATCTTTAAACAACTGTCCAACAAATGAGGACAGTGACCTCAAAGTGTAAACAATGTGAAAGTACCTTAATCAGAGGTAGAAATGTATGTGATAAATACATCCTAAAATTGTATTGATATACAAAATGTCTTAAGCAGAGGTAGAAGCATGCGTGCATACAATATGACAAAATAATTTTGCTTAGGCATATAAATATTGTAGATGAAAAAAGGAACATATTCAAATTTAATTTAAGTTTGTATCAATAGACAAAATTCTATACCAGTGGAAATTGCCTGTTGCTCACAAGTAAAAACCCCGTTTAAATGCTCCATAGCCAGACAACACTAGCTGAAGCACTTGGAAGCAAGCAGAAATTTGGGTGAGGGTTTTTTAGAAACCAGAGGTGTCAAGGACACCAAAAAAACCACAATTTACAGAACCAACTAAACATGGATCATAAGGGCTTAGAGAGCCTGACAGAGCAATTATGGAGTTTGCAGTGTCTGAGTTCTATTCTCTCAATGTGTGCTTCAGCTAGTGTTTGAGTGAAGTTCTTTGCATCTGCCATAATCAATTTTCAGAGGAAGGCCCTCTGTTGACAATTAGGCTAGGAAACCATCAATACTTTTATCAGAGTAGAGCTAGGAATCATTATATTGATTATTAGTTTATTTTTTGTTACTTGTATTTTGTTTTACTCGAAGTTCTGAACCCTTGAGCTTCTCGTTGATTGCCATCCAGGCAGTGTTGGTCAGGGGTTACCTCTTTTCACTTAGGCCTCAAGTTAGTCCCATCATTGGTTTGCCACTCCACCAATTAAGCCACCAATTTCCTGGTATATCTTCCAGACAACACAACTATGTCAAATATTTTGTGGATGGCTTTCTTTTCTATTCCCATCACAGGGAGGTATATATCATTAGAGAGATGACAGGTTCGAGCTTCATATTCTTAGTTACTGGGAGTCCTCACTAGGGTTGCCCTCTTAGCTAGCAAAAAGTTTCTACTATATTAGGTTTCCACATCAACCTTAAAAGTTTTCCTATTCCAGTCATCTCTCCCTGTATATTCTCCCTCCATACCTCCGTTTATCTCATGATTGTTACTGTTTCTATTCCCTGTTCACCCATAAAATCTAGTCTATTTCCTCTTTTCATGTGGGCTCCGTGCATCCCCTGCTACAACCATTCTTATAACTTACCCGCTCTGAGTCTGTGGATTATACTGTGATTATTCTTTACTCAAATACTAATATCCATATATCATGTTTGTCTATGTGGTTCTGCAATTACTTGCTCAGAATTTAATAGAACTGGTAAAGATCAAAATAAAGAATTCTACGTAGATGAACTTAACAGGCTTAAAAACACATAAATAAATGTTCAACAGCCTTAGCTATCAAGGAAATACAAATCAAAACTACTTGAATGATTCATCTTACACCTGTCAGATTGGCTAGTATCAATAACACAAGTGACATCTCATACTGTCAAAAATATGGAGAAAAGGGAACACTCCCCCATTGCTGCTGGGAATGCAACCTTGTATAGCCAGTATGGAAGTCAATATGGCAATTCCTCAGATAATTGGGAATCTATCTACATCAAGACTCAGCTATACCACTGTGGTAGTTTGAATATACTTGTCCCCCTTAATCTCTTATGGAGTGGAAGTAGTGGGATGTGTGGCCAATTTGGAGTTGGCATGGTCTTGTAAGAGGAAGAATGTCACTGTGGGTTTTTGAGGTGTCTTATTCTCAGGATACTTCCCAGTGTGTCAAACTATGTCCTGTTTCCTCTGAGTCAAGAACAAAGGACTCTCAGCTCGAGTATCACATCTGGTTGCCTGCTTTCAAGTTTCCAGCCATGATAATTAAGTCAACCTATAAAATAGTACGTGAGCCAACTTAGATTTTTTGCTATAAGAGTTTCTCTGGACATGGTGTCTCCTTAAAAAATAAAACGAAACAAAAAACCAAAAAAAAAAAAAACCTAACTAACACAGAAGTTGGTTCCAGAGTCTTAGGTATTGCTGTGCTAATCCTAACCATGCTTTTGTTTAGAATAATACGGTCTTTGATTCTTTGGTTAAGAAAATGACAGAATGCATTTGGCACTGCATACAGGATCATACTAGGAGGAGCATGGGAGAGAGTGACATTGATAATGATATAAAATATCAGGAGCCAGCTCAAGAGCTTATATTGGTGAAGAAAGTGCTTGGTTCAAAGAATCTGCCTGAGGCTAAAATAAGGAGATTTTGATAAATTCCATTAGCAGAAGGAATCTCAACAGAGCTTAAGATCGAATCTGCTGAAGGGATATTAGTGGTAACCCTACTGAAGATACATAAGGAAAAGAGCAGCTGAGCAAAGGTACATACTTGAGGAGAAAAGGGCCCCCAAAAGTGGAATATATCTAAATCATCTGCTCAAAGACATCAACAGATTAAGAAATAGAATAAAGGGATTGGTGGCCTGAGGGGGTGGTGGCACATTGACTTTAATCCTAGGACTCAGAACACAGAGGCCTGCACATCTCTGTTAGTTCAAGCTCAGCCTAGTTTACAGATCAAGTTCCAGGACAGCCAAGCTTATAGAGCAAAAGACAGAAAGCTGGTAAAGATTGAATTAAACAAGGTGTCATGTTCCAACCCCAGTAAACAGCAGAACCTGACAGGTTGGGCCTCGTGGTTCTGGCTTGAGATGAGGGTAAAAGAAAAGTAATAAATCATCTGTTTCTGGTTATTTGGAGCTGAAGAAACATCTGTGATGAGCAAATTATCAGAAATATTGAAGTGAAATATTGCTCTGCTGGATACTTAATGCTGGACGGCTAGAGCTAAAAATTTAGTGATGATTCAGAGACCAGCATCACTGATGTGAAAATTTCTGGGAAGTGTTTTCTAAGAGCACAGAGAAGCTGTCTTCCAGAGGTAGCCAAGATGGTACCTCATGCTGGTAGATGGAGTTTGTAATGTGTTTCACCTAGGTGGTAATATTTTCAAGGTATTGATGAATGTAAGATTTGGCCCAGTGAGAGGCCAGCAAAAGAGTTCACTGAAGGTGCAGTGTCATTGGCAGTTGAATGCCCAGGACTGTAAGGGTCATGCCAAGAGGTGCAGCACCTTGAGGAGGTTCTATGAGAAACAACAGGTGAAAGTGAATCCCAGTTGCAACAGAAGATCCCAGTGTCTGGAGAGGCCAGCACTGTGAGATGACCACCAAAACAGCAGTGACAGTGGAACTGAGCCAGCCAGAGTCTAGAAGACCAGGTGTGTGCACTGCAGAGGGCAGAGTTAGTGTATTGACCCAAAACCTATGGAAGAATACAGAAGATCTTGAGTGGATTTTAATATTGGAAGGTTAGAATTCTTTAATTACACAAGATGTTAGAGATCCCAGGGTCATAGGTTACCTGCCAAGGAGAGTTACTAATGGGGAATGAAACCAGTCCAAGAAAAAGAAGTGTGCTGCTCTCAACACAGCAGAACAGGATTGTAGACCTGGAGAGCTTTTGGTCATGGAATTAGGTATCATTACATTGGCTGTATTTTTTTATTGTTACTTGTATTAGGTTCTAACCTAGTTCTCTGAGCCATCCGACTTCTGATTCTTGCCCATCTAGGTGTTCTTCCTAGCCACCTTGGGCCTCAATTTGGGCCAGTCATTGGTTAGCCACTACACAAATTTTGAGCCACCATTTTCCTGATATATCTTCCATACACAACAAGTCTGTGTCAAATATTTTGTGGATGGCTTGGTTTCCTATTCCCACCACTGGGAAACATATGTGATTACAGAAGATGGCCAGTACAGCCTCCATATTCTGAGTTATAGGGAATCCTCACTATAATCACCCTCAAAGATTACAGAAAGTTGTTACTGCACTGTTTGACCATCAACCATTGAAAGATTTTCTATTCTAGTAATTGCTGTGTTTTTCCCTCCATCCCTCCATTTACTCCCATGATCCTTCCTGTTCTTGCTCTGAGTACACCCCACAAAATCTAGTCTATTTAATTTTCTTGTTTGTGATCCATGCACCCCCTGCTACAGCCATTTTTGTCACTTGCCCTATCTGGGTCTGTGGATTGTACTGTGATTAGTCTTTACTCAACAGCTAATATCCACTTACAATGAGTACACATCTGGTTTGTCTATGTAGTTGGGGTTTATTTACTCAGAAGCAAAGAACTCAAGAAGCAACACATTAAGAAATAAATTAATTGAATAAAAATGTGGTACAGATTTAAATGAGTTTTAAATAGATGAATCTACACTGTCTTAGAAACACTTAACTCAATGTTCACTATACTTAGCCATCACTAAAATGTGCATCAAAAGAACTTTTAGAATTCACCTTATACCTCTCAGAATAACTAAGTTCAATAACGCAAGGGACAAATCATGCTGGCAAGTTTGTTAAATAAGGAGAACATTCCTCCAATGCTCCTGGGAATGCAAACCTGTAGAGCCACTGTGGAAAATAATATGGCCGTTCCTCAGATAATTGGTAATATATCTACCTTAAGACTCTTTTTACATTTTTTATTTGAATGATTTTTGGATGGATACTGGCTTTTATTAATTTGTAACTCTGGTTTACCTGTCGCTCATTTCATAGGCTTTGACTGACATCCAACTCAATTTAATTTTTCTGCGTTTTCATTGATTGCTGGGATTGAAGGAAAAAGTCAATATATCCAAATTTGCTCATCACTTTTCTAGATAATCATTGTTCTTACTATTTCTGTAATGTTTTCTCAGTAGTATTGTTCTGCTTGATTGTCTGTCTCTGTACGTCTGTTTATTGGCATTTCTTTCTCAAGGCTGTATTTTATTTAAAGTGCCAAGGAATGGCACATATGAACCTCCTCTTTAGTTTCCTTCTTAAGTGACTGGTGATTACATTGCAATGTAATGTCATGGTAGAAGTATGGGAAGCAGCAGCATTATACAAATATATCATTTTAAAAGAAGAATCCAATGTCAGGATCATACTTTGTTTTACTGTTGGTTGGATTATTCTAGAATTCAGTGACCTATGAAGATGTGCACATTGGCTTCACTCAGGATGAGTGGATTTTGCTGAATCTTTCCCAAAAGATTCTCTACAAAGATGTGATGCTGGAGACATATAGGAACCTCACTGCTATTGGTAAGACTGTGAATTTTCCTTCACATTTTAAAATAAGGGAACAACTCTGTATTATTTATTAATATTTTTCTATATTTTTGTTGAAGAAAGAGTAAGAATGAGACAAATAACTAAGGCATAGTTCACTTAAGATATTCAATTTTGTTCAATATTCATTAATATATTATCTATATTCTGTTATGATATTTTAGGCTACAGTTGGGAAGACCATAATTTTGAAGAGCATTACCAAAATGCTAGAAAACATGGAAGGTAATTTTTATTTGCAACTTGGTATATATTTGTCTTTGAAGAAATTTTAATTTGTCCTGGATGATTTAAAGAAAAATAATAGTATAAATAAACACAGCTTAAAGTATATTGAAGAGTATTAATTTCTCATAAAATCATATGCCTCAATATGAGGTAACTGGTCTGTGTTTCCAAGGTATTCTTCTAAAATCAGAAGAGAAAGTAAGGATTCCTTAACTGATACCACCATTTGAATTATTGCCCCATGAGAACTATGTTGTAGAACTACCAAGCCGTTTAGTTTCATACCACTCAGATATTGCACAAGAAACACACAAATGAACATTGAATAAATAATAAGTATATGTTTAAAGCTGCCCAAAAATCAATAGACTGTAGTAAAGCCAGTGTTATTCATGTACTTGTGACTTTGCCAAACTTATTGATAGAATTAGTATATGTGAGTCAAAAAGGCTCTTTTGGAAAAACATTAATTCCTACACCACATGTGTGTGAGGAACAGAAAGTCAAACTGTGTGATTTCAATGGACAATTCTGCTTCCTTTAATAAGAATGTCATATGTCACAAGTGAGCTTCCCAAAATGGAAAGAGGGACTGTATCTCTTTCAGAATAATGAGAAGATATGAAAGATATTTAGTATTTTAGCACTGAGTAGATTTGTTTAATGTGATATAAGGTTATATTTAATTGGTTTTCAAGCTTCCTTGGGAAGACATCAGCAAACTCACACTGAAGATAAGCCACATGAGTGTTGGAGTATGTCCTTAATTATTTTGTCCTAGTACAATTTATTGTGGTGTGTATTGTACTACAGGAAAATGTATGAATGCAAAAAGAATGTAAGGTTATTTAAAACTGAGTTTGTCTAGTTCCTTTCAAATATGTAAAAAAAAAACTCATAAAATGATGCTATAAATGTGGGTCATAAAAAAAAAAGACCCTTACCATCAAAGGTTCTTCAAAGACACAATACATTCCATACTGAAGGAGAATACCATGAATGTAAAACTTAAAATCTGATTCCTCTTTACAATTAAACAAAATTATAAAATTAATTTATACAGATATTAAGATTTATCAATGTATTGTACATGGTAAAATTTTTACGTGTGCCAATTATTTTTGCAGGTATGAAAATAACCATAATGGAGGGAAACCCTCAGAATATACTCAATGTCTTAAAGCCTTTGCATGTTGCCAAAGGCATGAAAAAAATCCTACTGCAGAGAAGCCATATGATGGTGTTCAACATGTTGAAGCCTTTGGAGGTACCAGTTGTCTACAAATACTTAAAGAAACACATACTGGAGAGAAACCCTATGCATGTATTCAATGTGATAAAGCTTTTTCAAAGTGCGCTCAACTCCAAATACATGAAAGAACACATACTAAAGAGAAACCCTATGAATGTAATGAATGTGGTAAAGTCTTTGCACGTCAATGTAGTCTCCAAATACATAAAAGAACACATACTGGAGAGAAGCCCTACACATGTAATCAATGTGGTAAAGCCTTTTCACAGAACAGTAGTCTTCGAGTACATCTAAGGACACATACTGGAGAGAAACCCTACACATGTAATCAATGTGGTAAAGCCTTTTCACTGACCACTAGTCTTCGAGTACATCGAAGGATACATACTGGAGAGAAACCTTATCAATGTAATCAGTGTGATAAAGCTTTTGTGAGTCTTGGTGAGCTTCACAGACATAAAAGAACACATACTGGAGAGAAGCCCTTTGAATGTGATCAATGTGGTAAAGCTTTTTCACAACACTGTAAACTCCAAATACACAAAAGAACACATACTGGAGAGAAACCCTATGAATGTAATCAATGTGGTAAAGCCTTTTCATATGTCAGTAGTCTCCAACTTCACAAAAGAACACATACTGGAGAGAAACCCTATGAATGTAATCAATGTGGTAAATCATTTTCACAAATCAGTAGTCTAAAAACACATAAAAGAACACATACTGGAGAGAAACCCTATGAATGTAATGAATGTGGCAAAGCCTTTTCACGTCATTGTAGTCTCCAAACACATAAAGGAACACATACTGGAGAGAAACCCTATGAATGTAATCAATGTAGTAAAACCTTTGCATGTCGTAGAAGTGTCCAAATCCATCAAAGAACACATGCTGAATAGAAACCTACAATTTTAGCCAATGTGGCAGAGCCTTTGTATGTGTCATCATACTTTAACATCTTGAGAAAAAAAATCATACTGCAAAGAAACTTTTTTTTTTTTTTGGTTTTTCAAGGTAGGGTTTTCTCTGTAACATTGGAGACTATTCTGGAACTCACTCATAGTTGAGACTGGCCTTTAACTCACAGAGACTTGTCTGTCTCTGTCTCCCAAGTGCTGGATGAAAGGGACATGCCACCACAGTCCAGCCTGACAACCCTCTAATCAGTGTGGTAAAGTTTTATTATTCTTGGTAGTGTTTATACAAGAATAACTTTTAGTGAATGTGAGGTCTATCAAGGCCTTTGCATATTACAGAACTCTGAGGACCTCAGATCATTCATGCTGAAGGGAATGTGACTATAAATGTTTTGAAAATATCTTCAGCCAACACACATTTACTTCCATAAGATTGGAAAGAAAACAAGTCTACAAGTGTCAAATCTGTTCAAGCATTATGAAATCTATTTCATTTGCACCTGCAAAATTATTTGGACAGAAGTCCCATGAATTCAATGATAAGGTAACCCTTTTTGATTTCTCACTTTTCTTCAGTTATATAAATACACTTATGTGTAGAAGTTAGCTTGATTCAGAACATAATCAGGCTAGCTTAAAGATAAACAATTATATTTTTACTTATTATAAGGGGAAACTCATGCCACAAGAATGGAAAGTCTAAGTTCTGCTGTGTGCCACGGGAATCACCCAGAGAGCAAGCACCTGGTTCATCTCAGGTTTTTACCTGGGCTCCAGGAAGCCAAGCCTTAACTAGGTTCCACTTCTTAAAGATGATTGGTTAACAAAGTTTCCCCTATCACTTCACTTATCCAGATGTAAAATTGTGTAGATGTGATGAGTGCCTCTTCTGTGTCTGTGGTAAATCATAATGTCTACATCAATTAAGAAAAGAGTTTAAGGTGACTCTGGGTTCCAGACGGTTACATGATCACCTTGACAGTGTTGTCACAAGAAGTGTCAGACATGACCCCTACCTTGGGAAGCTAAGAACTCACATCCTCAGGCTGCAGCATGAACCAGGAACTTGAACTGGTGTGTGAATGTATACTCTCAGGAACAAACCTATGACATATTTCTTTCAGGATGGCAATATTTTCTAAATTTTCCCAAATCATGCCTCTAATTGAGAATGATTAATTTCTGTATCAAGTCTACATTCCTGCTTTATATTGTATGATCAAAATCACGACCGAGAAAAACTCTGGAAGCAAGCCTTTAAATGCCTCAACACCTGGGTTACGGGAATGAATGCTTACAGGAGAAAAACATTCATGTGTGAAAAACTGTTTAGTCAAAGATTTTATTTAATTTTAATTATGTTATTTTAGTGTGCCCTTGTGTGGGTATATGGATATTCATGCTTGTACCCAGGAAGGTTAGACCCGTGGGTATTCCTGTTGCAGTACTATGGGAAGTTCTCAAAAACCTGACCTTCATCTTGACAATGAACTTGTCCTAGCTGCTTATCCACGTCCACAGCCCTGTAAATATTTTGAAGACTTTTTTTTTAATCATCTTAACATCAGATAATACGGAAGAATTGCTGCAAGAGAAAAATCTTCTTCATGTAAATGATATGGCAAAGACTTTAGACATCATAGTGGTCTTTATTGTTAAGAAATTCTTGTTTCATATCTTTTTCTTCATGAAAATAGTTAATCATTCACTATCTTCACTCAAGTGTCATGGTGAACATTTATTCATTGCAGTTTCTAATTAGAGAGACATTAAAGTGTTCTATACATTTAGAAAATCCTTTTAATGAAGTTTATTTTGTGCTCTTTGTATTCTTTCTGTGACATTTGTACATCTCTTACTGTGCTATCACTTAGAAAAAGATATTTTCCTGCTGGAATATATAAAGTGAGATTTCTATCATCTAAGTGAAACATTATTTTAATATTAAGCAGTGTATATTCATACTTTTTAAGTAATGGTGTCTGTGAAAGGGGGGTGAATTTTTTTCCTGGATTTCTTTTTTCCTATAGTCACAAATTCCCTTGAGATGTATTTTACTTTCTAGACTAGCTTGTATGTCACTAATTAGTTATGAATACATCTGAACTCATAATCATCATGGGTCAGTCTCTTGAATATAAGTCCAAGGGTACATGTTAGACCCCAACATTTGCTGTTTTATCTACATATTTTATTAAAATTAATGTTAAAATGGATAATAGGTTAAAGTATTAGAAATATTACCTTATATGTGTGTCCACAGCATCATTTTCATCAAACTGGTAGAGATCTAATATGTGGGATATTCAGTAATCAACTGAATATTTCACAGTATAGCTTGATGTCCTTTGGATATGTATACATTATTGGAAGTTCCATGCCTCTTCTTGTCCACATTAGTTATCCATTTGTCACTTCATCATGAAGTGCTTCCTTCTAAGGAAATTATCCAGAGATGCCAGGTAATGTAACATTAATAAGATTTTTTTGAAAAAAAAGTTTCTGTTATATGTATGTGTGATATGATTATGGAATTTTAGGCCTGACAGATATGTAAAGACCATAAGACAACTTTTCGGGGTGGACTTTTGGCTCTCTTCATATGGTGATCAAAATTAAGTTACCAGACTTGCACACCACATACATTTCCCACTAAGTCAGCACCCTGATTAATTAAAACATTCTACCAGTAATATGTTGCCTTTTTTCAGGTTGTAAACATGTTTTTATTGAAGGACAGATGTAAAACAGCTTAAATAATAAAACCTATTTTCAATTGAAAATAATAAACTGCTATCTCTTGTTTTTCCCTTTTTTGTAGAATGTGTTATCCTTAGGACTAAACATTTTTCGTAACATTTTCTCAGAACCACAAGGAATACCATAATATTTCTCAGTACATAAAGTTTGCTGCTGCTGTCTGATGACTTGAGTTTGTCATTGTATATACCAAGTACAAAAGTGGAGGCCATAAGAGGGTATCTGATCCCCTTTAACTGGAGTTAAAGAGAATTGTGAGCTGTTTTGTGGGTTCTAGGAAGCAAAGTCAGCTGTGTGGATAAGCAGCCAGTGATGTCATCTGCTGAGCCATCTATTCAGCCTAGTGAACATGTCATTAGGCTGTCGAGGGGGGCCAGAGTTTCAAGAAAGACTGTGATTGGCTCAGATGAGTGTTCAGAGTGTTTGCTGCAGGTTCAGAAATTCAGAGTCATTAATTATACCTGCAAGTGTCTGATGAGGTATTTGCACCAACGGTTTTTACTCTGGGGTCAGATCATTTTGTTCCTTAACGACCGGAGTTTTTCTTCAAGTGGGAGAATTTAACTCAGGCAGGGATGAGCTAATTAATTGATTATCCAATGGAACATGGTCAATCCTGGAACTAAATATGCACAACCAACAGAAATAGCCTCAGCAGGTTTTATACATGTATTTGTACACCGTTAGTCACACATGTATAAAAAGGAGAAAATTGAAAGGAAATAATTTATGAACATGTGAAGAGAACAAAGAAGGGTGAAAGTGATATGATATATTTTAAGTAAAATGGATGAAAATAAATTTTAAATATAAAAGCAGTTGTAGAGGCAGCTTATCAGCTAAGAGCACTGTCTGTCGTGAAAGAAGAAAAGGATCATTGTAAGAAATCATGGTAGGCAACCATCTCCTCTAACTCCAGTCCCAAAGGATCTGATGCCCTCTTCTGGCCTCTTAGGTACTGTGCACAGAAAATGGTAGGCAAACACCCACATACCAAAAACATGATAAAGCCCTGAGGCAGAGGGCAGATCTTGTTAAACTGAACACAGGTTCTGCAACTGTGACTTTAAAATCTAGCTAGCCCTCTCAGAGGAGAAGGCAGCCTTATTCTAACATTTGAAGAGCTCAGCAAGCCTGTTGATTTAATAACAGCATTCACAGTGGGGATTGGTGACTTTTCCTTGATTTTTCCCATTTTTGTGTTATTTCACTTTCATATGTGCGAGGATTCTGGCAGAAGTACATCTTTAATATGTCTTAGTGCTTCTCTTCAATGCAGTTCATAATGTATGATCTAAAAGATAGATCTGCTCTGTAAATTTTCATCTTCCTAAATGGCTAGACTTGCAGGCTCCTGTCACTATTTATATTGTACAATGTATATCTTGGGTCATGAGCTAAAAGAAGACAAAGGATGACGGTATATGTGGAATGCGAAGTCTGTTGTAGGCTACCTCCTCTTCAAGCATTAGCCAGAGCTGAATGCATGCTGCTATTAACCAGATTTTTGTTTGCTTGTCTTCAAAGTGTTTAATATGCTTTATCCCTGGGAATGCATAATAATTTTAGAACAGGTGCATGTGCATCCTTTTAGAAAATTATTTCTGAGACAAGCTCTCTTATGTTGACTCAGGTAGCCTTAATCCCAATTCTTTAGTTTTTGGATAATGACTTTCCTTCCTGTCCTTTTCAGTAATCCAAATCAATTCTTATATTAAATGACTGCAACACCACTGAATTTAAAATTCCCCATTTGAGTCATGTAGTCAACTGTCCATTGACGTAACAGGAAAAGGATTTGCATATAGAGCCTGGTTTCTCCTTCAGAGCAGAACAGGAGGAAGAGTTTAATGAGTACACCATGGGGTGGTGGGCCACAGGGAAGGCAGTCAGTTTCCAGAGTGACCCTTATGAAAAAAACTACTGATTCTGGTAAGGTAAGTAAACAGGGTCTTTGGGGTACCAACCCCTCAGATTCCCTTAGGATCTAGCTAAGGCATTACAACTGGTGAAGGAAATCTTTTTTTTTTTAATTTACTTATTTATTTATAAAAATTTCCACTTCCTCCCCTCCTCCCAATACCCTCCCATTCCCCTCACTCCCTCTCCTCCTCCCTCTCCAGTCCTAAGAGCAGTCAGGGTTTCCTGCCCTGTGGGAAGTTCAAGTTCCTCCCCCCTCTCTCCAGGTCTAGGAAGGTGAGCATCCAAACAGACTAGGTAGGATCCCAAAAAGCCAGTACACACAGAGGAAACAAGACCCAGTGCCATTGTCAATGGCTTCTCAGTCAGCCTCCATGTCAGTCACATTCAGAGAATCTGGTTTGATCACATGCTCGTTC